AGACGATACGTACAGATCGCAGTCGATCTCCACAAACGTTGCTCGCCTCATGTCAAACTGCGCGATGATGCCGGTAGTCAGCGAATCATTGTAGAAGCCTGGGATAAGCTCGAGCGAGACCTTGAACGGAATACCAGAGGAGCGCCGGTCGTCCTCGTTGAAGTATCTGCGCGCAATCTCGCGAGGCCCTTGTTGTGTATTACGATAGCTGCCTTTGCGCCATCCCGCAAGCTTCTCGTCGCGATTCGTCTCCGGCAAGCCCGCAAAGGAGTCGAATCCGTACCACTTCTTGGGTGGCGAGCGAAGCGGCGGAGCTACGGAGGTGCCCTTTCTCGCCCCCCAGGTTCGGACCTCGTTTCGGAGCAGGATGTCTCGCCAGCTCAGGAGGGACCTCCCAGCTGCAACCCCGAAGATGTAGACGTCCCCATCCACGAGCAGCGATGCGTCATCAAGTGTCCTGGAGATGGGCAACAAGAGGTCCCGCCAGTTCCCACCGCCCCGCTTTGGCCATGCTTTTGGCGCTGTCACGCCAGCGACGAGCGACGTGGTGTTGCAGCACAGATGGCAGCAAGAGAGAAGCGCCGCTGCCCGTTGCCTCACCTGGTTGGCGAGTCCGCTTTCGTCAATGCTCGATGCACTAGCGAGGAGGAGCGCGAGGAACATGACACAGGTGAGGAAAGGCGCGACTGGTGGCGGCGCGCCGCCCTCGACGCCAAACTGTACCGAGAGGACAAGAAGAATTCTAACCCTTTCGCTGTGAAGAGCTGGGGCGCGCCACCCAAGAGCCTAGGTAGGTGCGGATCGGCAAGAGCGCAATCGATCTTTTTGCCCTCTATCACCTTGGGTTGTAAGAACTTGAAACACACCACGCAGGGGCACAGCAAGCACGGATAGCCGTTAGGTAGGTAGTAAGGTGAAGAACAGCCAGGCTCGGACTGGACACCAACGCGGTATGGGTGGACGCTGGACAGATGATGACGACACGCACGAGCGACACACAGACACAAACAGGCTCACAAGACACACAGCCAGCTGGCTGCCACACACCCTGGCTGCTGAGTTGGCGCACACATAACTCAAGGCCACATCCTCCCTGTCGCCCCCCCCAGCACTCCACGGTGCCAAGGAGTACTAACAAGGGCACAACAAACAACAGACGACAGGAAGTGATATGCGAGGCTAGAGAGCCGTTGAGGAGAAAGGGCGTAAGGTGTATGCGCAGCCACGGCCGTGCCGCGGTGGGCGCGCCACCTCCCGCGAGCGCGGCGGGATCGGAATTGCGGCCGGAGGGAAGGGCGAGCCGCCGCCGCCGCCGCCATATACCATCAGCGACGACGACCGCGGCTCGCCCCAAACGCCAGGCGCTGGATCGGCAGTAGGGCTTGGGCGGCGCAGCGTAGGCCTCGAGCCACACGAGTCGCCGACAACCCCCCCTCATCGACGTGATGGCCGCTCTCACTGCCGGCCGATGCAAGCTGCCGCCTCCACCGCACCAGCGATACTGGCCGCGGCTCGCCGCCACGCGCCGGCTCGGAAGAGGGGCTGTCGGCAGCGCAGCAGAGCGGCATGCGTCGTCATTCGTCGCATCCGTCAGGTCACACGCGTCGTAGGCGGCCTTTGTTGCGAATTCGTAAACCGAATAGGGCCCAGTCGCTTTTGCCTCTTTTAACTCAATTTCCAACTTGGGTTCGATCTTTTTCGGTAATAACGACGTTGTCGATGCAAACGTTTGGCTCCAGTCAGGATCAATCTTTATCTGAACTCCACCCATTGAAGCATACTACAAATACTAAACGGTACCACTAGCGCGACTGTGTCATGCATCTAGCCATATCGGGTCTAAGTGTCACACCGGCTGTCTCATCTAGCCAGTGACTCACGGGCCAGTCATGCAAGTACACAGATATATGAGCTCTGCCTGTCATCTCACAAACTGTAAGTGATAATAGTTAATACATGGCACGCGTCACTCACTCAGACTTTCGCCCGTAGGCCTTGCCCGCTTGTTGGCGAGGAGGGCAGCGCGGAGGCATCGGCGACAGGATCGGATTGAACTTGGATGGAGCCGGGCAAGCACCGGTCACTTTCTGCAGGATGACGATGTCTTCATTTGCCACTTGCATCAGCACTCGCAGCGACATGGACAAGTTGCTCGCTCCCCTAGAGAGCGTGGCTGCAATAGATTCCGTTGTGAAGGTGTGCGCGTGATGCCCCGATGCCGTGTGTGCCGCGACCAGTTGCTCGGCCTCTTTGTGTGTCCACACATCCGGGCGCGTCAAACCCTGGCTGGCACCCAGGGATTCGGCCACATGCCCGACATACCGTTCCATCAGCTCCGACTCGTTCATGTGCCACTCCTCCCAAAAGGCCTCGGGTGGTGTGGTTGCCCGGGGTCTGTCTTCTGCATTGAACCGGCGGTCAGGAAGTGCGACAAAAGCCACTCCTCCCCTCCGCAGCACTCGACTGAAGGTCGCAAGGGTGCCCAGGAAGTCTCTGACGTGCTCGAGGACATGGTTGGCAATGACAAAGTCCAGCGACTCGTTTGCAAATGTATCAAGACGCCCTGCATCATCCACGATGTCCACAGGATATCTGGCCAACCCTGCGGACCATCGCGACGTCCCGTTCGGCTGCAGCATATTGGGTGCAGCATATTTCGCGAGCAAGCCAGCGGTGTCCATCTCGTCTACCAGCCGCATTGTCACGTTGTTCCGCTGCATCTGCTTTCTGTAGCGTTGGCGATGCGTCGGGAAGAGGGGATTCGTTTTCGCTCCGATCTCGATCCCATCTCCAAAGATGTAATCCGCCGCCAGGGCCAGCCTCACTGAGTACTTTTGGCTCCACTGCGACCTTGGCCATGCGATTACCGCGTCATGCTCCCTCGCTGAAGTAGGAAGCGCAGTGCAGCAGAAGAGGAGAAGGCGATGCAGCGGAGGCGATTTCTCGGTCATCGCAGACGCGCAGAACGGCTCGGGCCCCAGGCGTGATGCGCGATTAGTGGTCGTGCGCCGCCAGCGCAGCTGCCGGAGCACGAGGTCGGCCGTGGCAGCAAACACGCTCACGGCGAAGAGGAAAGAGAGAGGTATCGCACCACCCTCCGTGAACCACGAGAAAGTGGTGCTCGACGCAGAGGATTCCACGGGAGCCGCTGCTGCGCCGGGGAGGCACGCCGCGGCGGCGGCGACGAAGACGGCCCACGCCACGCCGCGCCGAGCCCCCTTTCCGCTCGCCGCGGTCGGCCAGGAGGCGCCGCAGGCGATGGCGAGGAAGATGAGCACGATTGCGGGCATGAGAAGCGGCGAGCAGCTCACGAGCGAGGACGCCTTCGAAGCGACGGCGGGCGAGAAGGCCGAGGACACCGCCGAGGCGACGCCGGATGAGATGGTAGAGGACGCCGACGAGGCGACGGAGGCTGCCGAGGCGACGGCAGACGAGAAGGCCGAGGCCACCGCCGTCGGGCTAGGCACGGCGGGCGCGCAGTGGCCAAAGGCGGGCATGCAGACGAGGAGCAGCCACCGGAAGGCGCCCTCGGCCTTCGTGTAGCCCCCCTGCACGCAGTTGGCCGCCGCCTTGAGGCCGGCGCGACCGCCGGCGCCGCATGTGCCAGCGCCGGCGCCGCATGTGCCAGCGCCGGCGCCGCACGTGCCAGCGGCGAATGGCGCCTTGCCGGACGTGGTCTGCGGCTCGCGGCGCCGGTCCGGCGACTTGCAAGGCGGCGTCTGCGGCCCGCCGCGCGGCTTCGGTCGCCGGTGCGTGCCGCGGCCGCGGCCCTTTGCCTTGCCAGACTTGCGCCTGCCCTTTGCCTTGCCAAACTTGGGGTTGTTGCGGCAGCGCCTTGCCGTGCGCCGGCACTTCCCCGAGCGCCGCGACTGCAGGTCCGCCCACTTCTCCCGTTGCTCGGCAATGAGATCGAGCGCGGCCTTCGCCTTCTTGAGCCGCCCCTCCCAGTGCTCGCGCTCCTTGGCGACCTCGGCCTCAGCCTGCCCCGCGCCCGCGACCGCGCCAAGGGGCTTGGGCGCCACGGGCGCAATGCCGCCGGAGGTGGGGACTCCCGGCGACGGCGACTTCTTGCCGTCGGCGGGCGTAGCCTGGTAGACGACGCTCTCGCCCAGCCGGCGGACTGCAGCCTCGACGCCGTCCACGTAGCCCGGTCCGGAGCCGCTGCGGGCCGACGCGGGCCCGCTCTTCCCCGCCGCGTTCGGCGTGGGCAGGCCCGGGTAGCAGGTGGTGTCCTGCACGCGCGATAGGGGCACACGGGAAGGGAGATTATTACCGGTGGGAGAGCGAGGAGAGTGCCAGGAGAGAATGCTGCGGCGCGCTCACCACCCCTTCCGGCGTGTTGGAAACGGTCTTGGCCGGCTTTTCGACCTCCTTGGCAGCCTCCTCGGCGACGGCCTCCTCGGCGACGGCCTCCTCGGCGACGGGCGCCTCCTGGGAGGCGGACACCTCGGCGGTGGCGGGCTTGATGGTCGCCTCCTCGGTGGCGGACTCCTCGGCGACGGCGGGCTCCTCGAAGGCGGCCTCCTCGGCGACGGCGGCCTCCTCGGTGGCGACGGACTTGGTGGAGGACTCCTCGGCGACGACGGCCTCCTCGGAGGCGGCCTCCTCGGCGGCGGGGGCCTCCTCGGTGGCGGCGGACTTGGTGGCGGCCTCCTCGGCGGCGCACTCCTCGGCGGCGGTCTCCTCGGCGGCGGCGGACTTGGCGGCGGCCTCCTCGGTGGCGGCCTCCTCGGTGGCGGCCTCCTCCTTCACAGCCACCTTCTTGCGCGCCACCTTCTTGCGCGCCAGCAGCCCGCGCGAGACGCGCTGCATGATCTTCGCAGCGCGCGGCTCCGCCAACCCGATCTCGACGCTGGTCAGAAACACCGGCTTGGAGGCGTAGAAGCTGTCCTCCACGACCATTGACCGGTCGGCCCACTCCTGCGGGGAACACGGGAGAGAGATTAATACGGGTGGGTGGAAGGCTAGGAGTGCCAGGAGAGAACGCTGCGGCGCGCTCACCGTTGGGTCGGGCGTGTTGGAAACGGTCTTGGCCGGCTTCTCGACCTCCTTGGCAGCCTCCTCGGCGACGGCCTCCTCGGCGACGGCCTCCTCGGCGACTGCCTCCGCGGCGGCGGACACCTCGGCGGCGGCGGACTTGATGGCCGCCTCCTCGGTGGCGGACTCCTCGGCGACGACGGCCTCCTCGGAGGTGGCCTCCTCGGTGGCGACCTCCTCCTTCACGACGACGTCGTTCTTGATGCCGAGCGCCTGGGTGAGGGAGAATGCGCACGTGTTCGGAGAGACCGGAGGGACGATGACGATCCTGGCGTGCACCTCGGCTATGATGAGGCGCGAAGGCGGCGACGACCACGCCAGAATGAGGGAGGCGAAGGCCTCGGACTCTCTCGCCATGGCCACAAGCCCCGCCAAAACCCGCTTGATCTGCTTGCGGCGGTTTTTCTTCCTCCACGACTTCGACTCGTCGTCCTCCACCTCAATGTGCCGCTTGTCGGGCGGGTTGGAAACGGTCTTGGCCGGTGCCGGCTTCTCGATCTCCTTGGCAGCCTCCTCGGCGACGGCCTCCTCGGCGACGGGCGCCTCCTCGGCGACGGGCGCCGCGGCGGCGGACACCGCGGACTTGATGGCCGCCTCCTCGGTGGCGAACTCCTCGGCGACGACAGCCTCCTCGGAGGCAGCCTCCTGAGTGGCGGCCTCCTCCTTCACAACGACGTCGTTGTTGACGCCGCACGCCTGCGCGAGGGAGAAACGTAAATGTTTGGAGACGGGGACACCGCAGGGACAATGCCGATCCTGGCGTAAAAGTGCGCACCTCAGCTCCGAGCGAAGGCGGCAGCGTCAGGCTCGGGCGGCGGCGCTGATACCACTCCTCATACTCCGCACGGGAAGCGAAGTAGCCACCGACCTTGACGGAAGCCGTTGGCCCGAGCTCGGTCTGAACCTGGGCCCCCTCCGCGAAACAAAAGCTGATTGGCACCTTTGCGAGGCTCCGATGGAACACGTGGGGGTTGTCGAACCAGACGCCCTTTGTTGATCTCACAACCAAGAAAGCCGACTCGCCCTCGCCCTCATCGAAGTCGACCATGTAGCGCCTCTCGGCGCGCGTCCTGCAGAGCAGAGAGAATGGGGGCCGCCCGTGAGAGGGGTGAGGCAAGGCGCCTGCATTGGTCGGAACAGCTATGCGCATGTGTGGGGTCTGAAATGAGAGGAGAGTGACGGGGGACAAAGCTCGGACGTTGAGCCTGCGGAGGGCGGCGTCACGAGGGAGCGGGCTAAAGTTCATGTCCGGCGAGTGTTGCAGGCGACGAGGGCCAGAGAATAAGGGGGCCTTGCGGGCGAGGGCGAAGGCGAGGGTGGCGGCAGTGTGTGTGGGGGGGGGGCTGGCGGCGAGGGCGAGGGGAGGGGGGGGCAGGAAGGGAGGGGCTGCGGCGGCGGCAGTGTCGACGGCAGGGCGGCGAAGGCATCAATGGCGGCGGTGAAGGCTGCGGCGGCACATTGCGCGGCGGAGGCGGCGGCACAACGGCGGCGGTGGCCCGGAAGTGGCAGCAGCGAAGCGGCGGTGGGCGAATCGTCGTTCATAGCCTGGCCGCAGTAGTCAGGCACGCACGGCGACACGTCGTTCATTGCCTGGCCGCAGTACTCAGGCACGCACGGCGACACGTCGGTCATTGCCTGGCCGCAGTAGTCAGGCACGACGACACATCGTTCATTGCCTGGCCGCAGTAGTCAGGCACGGCGACACATCGGTCATTGCCTGGCCGCAGTACTCAG